AAATACCATTTTCATTGGTTTGATGGTGAACAATTTCCACGATCTGTGCTTGATGCAATTACAACGGGAACTCTCAACCTCAATGACAATACATCTGGTATATATTTTTTATTGTATATATTTTGATTTATTGCATTGTCTAATATACCTACGGTGTTAATTAATGCAAAAATGTAATTTATTTTTCAGATATTGATGTTGAAAGGGACGAGATCGATTTATATTCCGAAGACGACATAGCAGATGACGAAAACATTAGCGCTAGTAGCGATGACGAAAATATTTAAAGAAATATTTATTTATTTATTTAATTTATTATATATTTATTTATTTTATGTATTTAATTCATTAAGTTTTATCTATATTTTTAACTCTAAAGTTTTATAATTGTAACTTATTTGAATCGCAGCTTTATTTTTGCTATTATTACTTTTTAATTCCATTGACTACGCATTTGTCTTTTATGTGTTTTTACCTCTAAATTATTATAATTTTAATTTAATTAACGTATAATTTCAGTTTTATACCATTTATAGTCTGTATTTATTTCTTTTTTACTTTTTTCAATAACTGTTCCTTAACTATTTTTGCTTATTGAATTACGCTTCTTAAATTTGATGTATTGCCTTTTTATATTTCTGATTAAAAAAACGTCAATATAATAGATACATTTCTTTTTTCTATATGTATATCCAACACAGTGTATTAAATAAATATGCATCATTTACTCTTATACTTTTTTAATATCATGTATTACTATTATGCATCTTCCATATACGCTCTCTCTTTCTCTCGCGCGCGCGTCTGCATAATCTTCTCTCCGTCGCACTCACGGAAAACATTATTTACTACTTTTCATACTGTTTTATTTGTTAAATCAGCCTAATTTTCAACATATATTACTCTTATAGCATTAGAAACACATTGTAAAAATTGCAACATGTTTCTGATGCTATGAAATACCTTTATGAAATAAAAGTTAAGCACCACCACTAATAATACAACTTTACGATCGCCTGCCACTAGGTTCGAACCAACCAGGACGCCTGCCCTTTTTTTTCTTACTCAAAAAAGTATAAAATTTTTAAAAATTCAAATTTCAACTTGTATACTTCATGTTGGTTTCAACTTTTTTTTTTACACTTTTAAAAAATTATGGGTGCACTTCTAACCAACGCTGGCCAGGCAGGTTGGGAAATTCTTATTCAGGTAGGGAAAAAATAACTTTTTACCAAATTTCAGTTTGTATAAAACAACCTTAACAAAATGTTCACCAGCTCTTGGACTATAAGGTTACTTGTGAGTAAGACCATCATTGCCCTAATATACTATAACGAGGTCAGGATGGTATGATCCATTGTATAGGTCACGAATTCTTATAAATTTCGTTCTATTAGTAACAAAAACCAAATTTACAGAAAATGATTTTTATACTTTATTTTTATCATTATTTGCAATCTTAAAACAAAATGCTTATACAGATATTCAAATTTCATTTATGATGACCAATAGTTTGTTTAATGGTAATCTATGTTTTTATCATTGATTTACGTATTGATTTTGTCAAATTTATACATATTTATTTTGCGTAATTTATGTAATTTGGCTAATGAAAGACTAGTAAGTCCGAAATATTCCTATGTTATTTGCGTTAATTATGCTATTATATAATAAAGATTTTAATTTCGAACATCTAAATTTATAATTTTGCTTGTTTTGAGCTTTTATTGTTTAATCTTTAAAATAAATTTACTTATGTGAAATTTCAAATTACAATATTCCAGATGCAATGCTACAATGCAAAAGTACCTATACTGAAACCGATATTAAAAAACAAATAGGTACGTGGTTGTTAGGTCGCAAAGCTAAAAATGAGGCTGAAAAGAAAAAAGTTGAAAAGTAAGTAATTATAACTGTATAAATTTGTTTTGTACATTCCGTACTAAGTTCATATTTATTAAGTTATAATAATTTTACAGAAACGCTGCTAACATCCCAACATGGCCAAATGATCAAAATGAGATAAATTTATAAAGGCCCTAGCAGGATAAATACTGGAGATTGGCCTTTACTCGGATTTTAACAATATTCATGAGGTAGTTACCTATAGGTACGAGGGTAACTCAGCTCACGTTTCAATACTTAACTCCTACCGGTTCGGGCGATAAAAGCTAATAACGGAAAATCACAATATTTAAATATCTCGGAAACTACTTGGCCGATCTTTGTGAAAAAAATACCAAAATGTAGCTCTTACCTTGTACTACAACATATATTATTTATGTTACAATTCATTTCCATGTACTACCCCAAAAAAAATTTTTAAATTTTTTACTCAGAATTTTTTTATCTTACAGTTGTCGCACTACTTTCTAAATAATTGTGTACATTCGTCATCTATGTACCTATAACATATATAAGCTATAACTCGATTGACAGGGTGCGTCATAGTGAAAAAAATAAAAACGTGTTTTCAAGAGGGTAATTACTCAGTAAAAAATTAAATAAAATATGAAATCTAATGTGGCAAAATAACGAAATTGAGCTTTCAGGTATACTGTGAAAAGGAAAATAAATATGATGTAATATTTTCATTGATTTAACTTATTTCACTGTGTTAACAAACTACTAGTTCAAATTGTCTTTTTTGAGAATTTTAATAGGTAGGACTCCTAACTACTGCTATGTCCAGAGTCTAGTCTTCATAACTGTCGGCATTTACTACTGGAACAATTTTCTTTTTCAGAAAGACATAATTTAGGATCTGTGCAGGCTTTGGTATTTTAGATAGATAGCGGGCATGACATAAATAATAAATAATAGAAGCCACATGTGAACAACATCCGACCGTCCGTCTTCCATTCGCATACTCGCACGCATATCTTTTTATAGCTTTGTAACCACAGGTATTAGGTTCATAATCGATTAAACATTTGTACGATTTTTTATTTATGTGGCGGGATTTAACTACCATTTTGAGAATATTATTATTGATTTTTAGAAATTGCACATTTATTGTTCCATTGTCGTTCATTATTTCGGCAAAGTAGCAAATTGCCTGATTTAGTTGATACGAGCCCGTGAGAAGTAAGATCAGGTCATGTTCTGTCATTTCAGGGAAATTCAACAATTCTGTCGATGTAATCGCTGCAAAAGAAACCTTCTTACGTGTCCAGTTTCCGGCTTCGACTTCTTTGCCGAAATAATGAACGACAATGGAACAATAAATGTGCAATTTCTAAAAATCAATAATAATATTCTCAAAATGGTAGTTAAATCCCGCCACATAAATAAAAAATCGTACAAATGTTTAATTGATTATGAACCTAATACCTGTGGTTACAAAGCTATAAAAAGATATGCGTGCGAGTATGCGAATGGAAGACGGACGGTCGGATGTTGTTCACATGTGGTTCTATTATTTATTATTTATCTCATGCTCGCTATCTATCTAAAATACCAAAGCCTGCCCAGATCCTAAATGATGTCTTTCTGAAAAAGAAAATTGTTCCAGTAGTAAATGCCGACAGTGCTGAAGACTAGACTCTGGACATAGCAGTAGTTAGGAGTCCTACCTATTAAAATTCCCAAAAAAGACAATTTGAACTAGTAGTTTGTTAACACAGTGAAATAAGTTAAATCAATAAAAATATTACATCATATTTATTTTCCTTTTCACAGTATACCTGAAAGCTCAATTTCGTTATTTTGCCACATTAGATTTCATATTTTATTTAATTTTTTACTGAGTAATTACCCTCTTGAAAACACGTTTTTATTTTTCTCACTATGACGCACCCTGTCAATCGAGTTGTAGCTTATATATGTTATAGGTACATAGATAATGAATGTACACAATTATTTAGAAAGTAGTGCGACAACTGTAAGATAAAAAAATTCTGAGTAAAAAATTTAAAAATTTTTTTTGGGGTAGTACATGGGAATGAATTGTAACATAAATAATATATGTTGTAGTACAAGGTAAGAGCTACATTTTGGTATTTTTTTCACAAAGATCGGCCAAGTAGTTTCCGAGATATTTAAATATTGTGATTTTCCGTTATTAGCTTTTATCGCCCGAACCGGTAGGAGTTAAGTATTGAAACGTGAGCTGAGTTACCCTCGTACCTATACGTAACTCCCTCATGAATATTGTTAAAATCCGAGCAAAGGCCAATCTCCAGTATTTATCCTGCTAGGGCCCCTCTATTTCAATATTTTAATAATAAAGTTTTGAAAACTTTAAGCTAATTATTTATTGTAAGTATTTTATCCTCTTAATTTTTTTGAATGAGTTCTTTTAATTAATAACGTACTATTAACATTAACAATTATTTACAACATTTACTAATAAATTTCGTATACAAATTAAATTTTTTACTCTATGTTGTGAGTAGTTAGTTGATAGACTTGTGCAGGGTCAGAATGTTGTTCAAATAAAAAATTTAATATTTGATTTTTTATTTCAAAAATATAATATTTAATATATGATTTCCGATATTTTAAATGTTTCAAATTTACTTCAAGATCGCTACTTTAAAAATCGTTTAAACATATTGCGAAACAGATTATTAAAGTAAGAAGTGTATTTGTAACATTTTAAAATATTTTTTGTTTCTAAAATTTTCAAGTATCTTGGTGAAAATTTTTTAATGATTTTAAATTGACCATGTTACTGTTATTTTAAAAAGTTTTCAAATATTACAGGAATATTTTAAAACATTCTGTTCTGCGAAAATGTTCCACAAATAATTTTGAGACATAATGAAAGATTTTGATTTATTTAAAAAAAATCTTTTAAAATATCTTAAAAATCTTTCGCAAATATTTTAAAATCTTTCAAAAATATATTTTACTGAAATCTTATTTATGTGTTACATTTGGACTTTTAGAAATATTTTAAAAACATTTTTCATATAATATTACAAATATTTTAATTTAAAAAAAATATTTTTGCAACATTTAAAAAATGTTTGAATGCTATTAGGGGTATTACTTCACCCGGTACTGTAGACCAGTGTTGCGGTTGGGGCTAGGCTGGCATGGCAATCGCACGACTGCGCATGCGCGTGGATGGGGGTAAATCACACAATAGGAAAGCACAGGCAATAGGAATAGGGAATAGAAATAGGGAATAGAAATCTATGTAATGCCAAGACATAATGGTTCGTTGGCAATAGTCGTGCTGTCCAATCATCTGCATTTTAAAACCACGTGTCTGTCCCAGTCTCCACTGTGATTGGTCAGGTAGATCAGGCACAGGGAATAGGGAACAGAAATCCAACGCGTCGGATATTCTATTCCTATTGCCTATTCCATATTCCATTGTGCGTCGATGCACGGTTTCTGGTAAGTTGGAATTTAGTTATTTCTGTTGCCTGTGTTATTCCCTATTCCTATTCCCTGTGCTTTCCTATTGTGTGATAGGCTTTACAGTGACGTACGCATGCCACTGCGCGTGGACACCACTAGGGCACCCGCAGTGTTGCGATAGTGTAGACTCTCGTTCACGACACTTGTGAAACTCTAGACGATGCGATTTTCCGATTTTACATGAATCGCAAAAGAACTCGTTTTTATCTGATAGTTTAATGCCACTTACTAGTTCTTTGTTTACTAAAGCACACAGTGTACGACAATTTACATGGCCGAGTCGCTCGTGCCACGCTCGCAAGCTCGATGTCGCTACACTTGCCTCGTTGCTGCCCCTTGACTTGTCCTCTCGAAACAGCATTCGATAGATTTCGTTATCTTGTTTGATTCCTATCGCGAGTACTTTATCCCTGTCCACGACTTTCACAGAGTCTTTTTTAAACACAACCTCGAAGCTTCTAGAAGTACAAACGCCAACTGAGAAAAGATTTTTCTTTATTCGTGGTATGTACATACAAGACGTTCTCGATACGCGCCTTTTGCCACATACCATTTACGAACTTCTGTATTGGAATTGTACCTACGCCTACGACGTTGCATCTCTCGTTGTCGCCCAGAAATATTGGATCGCTGTTCTTCAGTTCAGTGAAGTCGGAGAACTAGTCGCGCCGCGATGTCATGTGCCGCGATGCCCCGCTGTCGGTAATCCAGATCTCCCATTGATCAGCATTTAGCACCGCCTTGACAATACCGGCAGGAGGGCCAGCATCCCCTCCGTTGCCATTTTTAGCACGCTCAGTTCCCGTTCTTTCCGCCACGAAAGCACAATCGCGCGATTCCCCAGACTCACTTCTGTTTAGCTTGTCCCTTTCTTTTGTTTTTGCAGTCCCTCGCATAATGCCCCACTTCTTTACATTTGAAGCACTCAACGTCTTTTCGCTCCTTCGGTTTTCGCAGCTTTTTGTTAGACTTAGCACTTGATTGTTCGTTCTTTTTCGCACTGTTCTTCTTAAATGCCGTAAAAGCTCCCCCTGGTTCACTTTCACTGGTCAAACGAACTTCCTCGCGAATCATGCAGTCTCTCTTGTAGATGCTCCATCGTTTCCCACACAGCAAAACAAGTTTCAGAAAGCTTTCCGAAAGATAACTTGGAAACTAATATTGAAATGTAAAATTGAAATCATTCAGAAATATCTTTGAAACGTTTCATCAAAATCACATGTCATTGAAAGCTTTCCAAAAGATACCTTGGAAATTAATATTGAAATGTAACATTGAAATCATTCAGAAGTATTTCTGAAACGTTTTATCGAAATCATTTATGATCCTTCTCACTGAAATATTTCAGAAATATTACAAAACATTTCAGAGAAATATTTCGTACGTAATCTCTAAAACATATGTTATTGAAAGCTATCTAACATATAACTTGGAAATTAATAGTGAAATGTAAGATAGAAATCATTCAGAAATATTTCTGAAATGTTTCATCGAAATCATTTACGATCGGTCTCATTGAAATATTTCAGAAATATTACG